GGGACTTGAACTGCGGTCGACTACGTGGGAGTCCAGCGACATAGCCATTATGCTAACTGCTGGTCCCCGGCCCTTAATTTAAATGAATTGTCAGGTTCTTAAATGGTCTTAACGTATTTCTAAAACATTTAGAAAAAAAAAAAAATCACCAAGGGAAACCAGTAAGTCAGAAGACAGCCTTAAAATCCTAACAAGAGGCAAGTGATATGAAATTTATCAATAACAGGGGCCAGGTGGTGGTACGCTTGTAAAACATAGCACTCTGCTAGGCTGACTCACATGGGAAGGTTCTGAGTTCACATCTGAAGACCTCCCTGAGTGCTCTGAAAGAAACTTGAAAAAAAAAAAAAAAAAAAAAAGAGCATGAGATATTAAAGGCACTACTACCACAGAAGAAATCAAAACGTCAAAACACTCACAGAAAGGGCCAGCAGGTGGCATGGTGGTTAAGGGTATTGGAATCCCATGTGGCTGACCACAGTTCGAGTCCTGGACCTGATGGCTTGCTTTCTCACTTCCCCTCTCCCCCGCCACACTGGTTAAATTAAAATAAATAAATAAAGTCTCTCTCTCTCTCCCCCTCTCTGGTCAAATTAAAATAAATAATGAAGTTTTAAAAAATTATTCTAAAACAAAAACACCCACATCATGAATTTATAGGACAGCATATATGTTGAGGTCTCAGTTTATCAGATTATGATTTCTGATTTTTATAAAGACTAAATTAATAGACAGCTCTGCAGAGGACCTATTAAGAAATTGCTAGGGAAGGGGTCCAGTGGATGGTGTGGTGAAGGTGCTGGACATTCCCATATGGCCAGCCACAGTTCGAGTCCTGGACCTGGTGACTTACTTTCTCACTTTCTCTCTCTCTCTCTCTCTCTCTTTCTCTCTGTGTATGTGTCTCTCTCTGGTCAAATTAAAATAAATGAATGAAAAAATAAAATTAGATAAATAATTCTTTAAAAAAAAGAAATTGCTGGGGAAGAAAATCATTCCTGGAATTGCAAACTTCAGAAAAGCAAAATGAATATACTAAATAGTTTTAAACCTCAAGGAAACAATAAGGAAAGAATACATGCAGACAGAATTATTGCTACAAAACAGGTCCAAGAAAGTAGGACAAGCTTTTATCAACTCGTCAAGCAGAAAAGATGCTAAAGGCAAAGTAGCTACCCAAAAATGCAGGTCATGGAATTCACGCTGAGCTACAAGGCTCTGCTTGAAAGACTCACGCTCTACCCGCTCCACCCGAGCAAACCAGAAACTGAGTGTGATGCCACTGTCTGGGATTAACATGTTTAAATTAAAAATGCTAATTACAGAGAAGTCAGTTTGCACTGCCACAAGTCAACAAACCAGAGCTTTGTGGGAATTTGCAAAAAAAAAAAAAAAGAGTTTACAAACTCTCGGGCAGTTAAGAATAGCTAATGCATTATAAGAAAGTGGTTAAGAGGACGTGGCTTAATTTGAACTGGAGCTCAAAGGCAATTACAGATTCGCACCTCCTTGACTTTTCTTTTTAGAGAGATTTTTGCTATCCCGTGTGTGCACTGCTAGAGAGACAGAGAGACAGAAAGCCAGAAATCAGCCCCCGAGGGGATGACCACTCTGCAATCCCTTCTCCTCCATTCTCTTCTCCTGATCTTTGGGACACACACACACACACACACACGCACCCAGTGTGTTTCAAGTCTCCAGGTCCAGACTCGAACTGCGGTCAACTACGTGGAACTGCACCGATGGAATGTTACACCATCTGCTGGTCCCCCTCCTTGACTTTTCTATGTC